GGGACGGAGAAGGTCTCCCCCCAGCCTCCTTTTCTCCAGGCTGAACCCCCCCAGTTCCCTCAGCCGCTCCTCATAAGTTCTCCAGACCCCTCACCAGCTTGATCGCCCTTCTCTGGACCTGCTCCAGCACCTCAATGTCTTTTTTGTCGTGAGGGACCCAAAACCGAACACAGCACTCAATGTGGGGCCTCACCAGTGCTGAGTACAGTGCTGATCACTTCCCTAGTCCTGCTGGCCACTCTATCCCCGATACAGGTCAGGATGCTGTTGGCCACCTGGGCCACTGGGCCCACTGCTGGCTCACATTCAGCTGCTGTTGACCAACACTCCCGGGTCCTTTTCTGCCGGGCAGCTCTCCAGCCACTCTGCCCCAAGCCCGTAGCGTCCACGGGGTTGGTGTGACCCAAGTGCAGGATCCAGCGCTTGGCCTTGTTGAACCTTGATGGCCTCAGCCCATCAATCCAGCCTGTCCACATCCCTCTGTAGAACCATCCTACCCTCAAGCAGATCAACAGTCCCGCCCAGCCCATGCCCTGAGCCACAAACTTGCCCATAAAGCAGCTCCTCATGCAGCAGGAGGTTAAAAATAAAGCTTCTGAGAAACAAGACCTCAAGACATCAAGGCTCAGCTTGTCACTAGACACCGGATCAGCAATGGAGATGGAGGGAAGCCACCGCTGAAGCTGCTTATCCCTGCTCGGTTTGAGGGGAGACGACCTTCGGTTCAGGGCTGCAGAAGAGCTGAGAAAAGGGAAGGTGGAAGCGGTAATACATCGTCCCTGGCGAGCTGCATCAGGTCGGTCCCATCGTAGGCCTGGTTCCTAGTTAGTCCTGCACACTAATTGCTCTCATCGGCCAGTCTCCCCTCCTCTCCCCATCTGCCCCTTCAATCACAGCCATGGTGGGATCCATTCGCCTAACCACATACAAGGAATAAAACTTCCAACAAAGGAAGAGTTACAGCTTTCCTCTCATCTCCCTCTTCCATCATTATTGCCACTGAAGGGCCATTTTATCACTTGCAGCTGTGGTCATTCAGCGACAACCTGCTGTGCTCAGAGGCAGATGAGACCTGCACATTTGATCTGCATTAAGCCTGTTTCATGGCTTCACATTTCTAGGTACATTCCTAACAGCAGCACCGACAACCAAATCTTTTCATCCCTCCAACTACTCGGGAGCTCCTGTGAAACCTGGCGTTTATCTTTCACATCAGGCTTTTTTTTCTTTTTCTTTTTTTTTTTTTGGTTCAGCACCAGTTAGCAATCTGTGCCCCAAATCCATCCGCCCCAAACAAGGGTCGGCACTTCTCCGGCTCCTGCTGGACAACAGCAAAATCCCCATTTTTTTTTACACTAGCAACGTTTATTAGCAGAGCTGCTTTCCATTCCCTTCAGACACGAGGTGCAAATTAACCAGCTCTTCACACATCCTAGCTAAGAAACACAGCACTTTGCTCTCAGGTGCAATGAGCCCTCGGTTGTATCCATCTTTGGGAGACTCTTTCAGAACAAGGCAGCTGTTCAGCCTCGTTTGCTTCAGGATGCTCGTTTGGCACATAAAGCAAGGGGAGGAGAAATGAAAGCCTGAACGGTACGCTACGGTAACTTTGCTGTAGAAGCTCCTAGATTTTCGACGATCCCAGAACAAGACACAGCGGGCAAGTCCATCGGCTCACTAGAAACCCAAAGCTCTGCTGTAGATAGCAGCGGGGAGAGCAGGCGTGGGACGAGCGGGCAGTACAGCTTCTGAAAAACCGTGCCAAGTCAACAGACCTCCTCTGCAGTGAGGCACAGCAGCTCCGATTAACCACAGGAGAGAAGCTGCCTCCTATAGCTCAACGTACGCTGTTCAGTTCTCCTGCCAACCTGAAGAACCATAGCTTCCCAGAGTCCTTCTGCCTATTTCTTTTGGAGGTGCCAAAATATAAAGCAAGCCCCGACTGCCTCGTAACCCGCAATCTAACCAGTTCCTGAAAGCAGGGCCAAACATTTCCAGTCCCTCTGGCAGAGGGCTGTCAGTCCACGGCATCTCTCCCCCACGGATGCCGGGCTCTTCTATTTCATTTTCAGCCTTCTAAGCAAGCAAGAAAACAAGGAGAGTCTCCAGAAAACCAACACACATGGAAATGCCCAGATGATTAAAAGCTAAACTCCTACAGCAACCAGCTGGTGACCAGCTCAGTCCCTGCACGGGGAACGCGTCAATTATAAATAATTAAAAGGTAATAGGAAGGAGACACTGAAGTATTAAGCAGATTTCTCTCTAGGTATCTGGAGGTTTCCATTGCTGCCAATCACACCTTTCAGATTATTGTCTGGTCTGTCAGTCATCCCAGCCCTTACACGAACAGGCGAGCTCAGGTTCACATTTGCAACTGAACTAATTAAGCCCAGTTATGCCTCTGCACACCAAAGCCAAAAAACATCAGCAAAACCCAGCTCTAATTTTTTAACCGACTTGGAAGCATAACCTCAACCTGCTGGAGAGGGAAAATTCACACAGGTCAGCTGTCAGCTCGAGCCATGCCAGGAAAAACCGGCACAGACACGAAGAGCAATTGCAATCGCTGCATTTTGGGTAGCCTTTCCTCTGCCTGTGATCTAGTCAATCCACAGAGGGGGACGCACCTGAAGACGCAGGGTTCAAAAGACCACTGGAAATAAGACTCCAGCTCCAACCCAGCAAACAGATCATTTTCAAATAGAGGAGATCTGGTGGGTCTTTATGCTTTATTAAACTCTCTGGGCACACTATTGCTGGTGACACTAAGGCAGTTCCCCTTCCAAATAAGCACAACCTGGCTTGTTTGCTCCAGCACACTCAGAGAGCATTCCGCCACCAGGGAGCAAAAGGTCCTTGATGTCTGGCTCTTCACACCTACCTTCCGCAGACTTTTTTGGAAACAATTAAAAGGTCTATAGCACAATTTCACACTTTTTGTCAGAAGCATCTTTGTCGGAAGAGTCTGTCCGGCCTGGCGCGCTCTGACGAAGACAGCACCACAGATGTTCAAAAACGGATGTTTTATACAATACCACATAGATGTACATTTTTATTATGAATAGTTTGCAACGAGGGAACTGAACTTTGATAACTAGGGGACACCGAGACTTCCGTGACAACCCAGCTGAGCTACTTTACACATGCGTCACCGCTCCTGTAGCAAGGCGAGCTGCAAGTTGCTGACACCACAGGGAGGAATGTGAGAAACCGTGCGCTTCCGCACTCGGTTACACAAAATTACTAAACGGAAACCTGACACATTGTGAGAATCTACAGAAAAACGTGGCTCCTTGTCTACTTTCCCAGTCCCCAGATTGCGCGCCACTACCTTATGCAGACTGTGAAGGCGTTCAACGCTTTGCTTCCGCGTGCCATTGAAATCCAACACGAGAAGATGTGTGATCACGCTACCTGAAGGGGAGACCAGAGAATCCCCAGCCTTAGTTCAAAAATCCTTGGGGATCCAGGCTTCTTGGGCTCTTCAATGCACGGACAACGTCAGTATTAGGTAGGAGGGTAAAGAAATAGCCGTGAAATTAAGTTACAGGGCAGAAGAGTTCTTTCCTGCTGCGCTCCTTCTCTCCCAAGGCAAATATCTCAAGTCTCACCTCTGCTCTTCCACCTGACCTGCCAGTTCAAGGGCCGGACTTGTTCTTTCAAACTCAGGAAGGAAGAATTCAAATGGCAGCAGTGCCCCTCTGCCCTGTTTTACCCTACTGCGTTCAAACTCACCCCTCTTCTGCATGAAGATGAAGAGGTCATCCAGGAACTCCTTCCGTTCAGGGTCACTATCCAGTTCGTAGAGCTGGGGGAAAAGATAAAAAAGAAGGCACAATCCATAATGAGACAGAAAATAAAGTTAATAATTCTATCAGCTTCTTCCAACGGGTGATCTGGTGTTTGTACTGGAGGAGTGAAAGGCAGCTACGGGCAGAGAGGCAAAACAGGGAAGGATTCCTGAGCGATTTGGTGGACAAGGCTGCGGTGGTCGTTTGAGGACCCTCGTTACGGCTTGCCTCGCTCGGCCCCTCAGTAACTCGTCCAGGCAGAGCAGAGACTGGCCCCCCTGAAGGATTCAACTCGGCCAACAGCACTGCTACAGAGCGGCGTTTGAAACCACCTGAGAGCAAAGGGGCGAGAAACTATTAAGATAAGTCGGAAAGAAAGAGCAGACAACCAAAAGGAAGGTCCCAGTGGTTCAGGGCAGGTTAGCGGTCCGTACCTTTGAGGCACCAGGGAGGTAAACTTCTCTGCAGCTTCTGCTAGCCTCACGATTCTCTCCTTCAGGGATTGTCACGTAAGTGACAAACTCCAAGTCCCTTGAAGGAGGAGATGAAAGGATAGAGCTTTCCTGTAACTAGTCATGCCCGGCAGGAAAGGCTCCTCTAAACTAAGCCAAAACACCTTCAAAAAACACCAGAAACCAGCCTGGAACCAATTTGCTGCAGAAATCATTTCACCAAAAGGCTTAAAAACCCAAGCATTTAAAATAAAGTTCCACAGGCAGCTTATTCCAAAGGAGAGGCACTGTACTCTGGCTTTATCCACTGATTTTTCAGAAGGAACAGGCACGAGTCTCATCTTACAACTACCTCTTGAACAGAAAAATCTAATTTTCACCTGTCAAGAATCCTGTGAGACCACCAAACAACAGGCTGAAAGGGCTGGAGTCAGTCTCTCGCCGAGATATGGGAGGATATAGAACAAGACAGAAGATGACGCTGTACACAAAGAAGAATTCAATTCCTTCTCTCGTTTGCATTTAAGGAGAATCCTGCATCACTCCAGGGAACGTTTTTGCTGGTTGTAGCTACTCTTGTGGAGCAGCTCAAGGGAAAAGCAAAGATTCACTGGGAAATATCTATTTCAGCCTCTCCTTAGGTGCTGCTAGCTACTTGGTATTCATCTAGTCCACACACAAAAAAAAAAAAAAAAAGGGCTTTTTGGGCTCATTTCCTGTGAAGCTCTCTGCTTTCTCACACACTGAGCTCTGGGAAGAAAATGCACCAGTGTATTTGCAGAGCAATTAGCTGCACCCTTTCAGAAAGAGCCAGCTTAGTTTAAAATTAATTCCTCCGGCTGATGTGACACACAGCTGCCACATTCAAATCCACGACCACAATGCTAATCAGGTTCAAGAAACAAAATACTCTTCCCCCAGCTGGAGAAACTATTGACTAAGATTTTAAAATGTCACAAGTCTGGTTATCAAGTCTTAGTACAAACTATATTCCAGTGACCAAAGGCAACAAAATAGCCCCAAACAGCCCAGGAAAATAGCAGGTTTGTAGGCAGAGGGCTGCAGGACCAAACAGTTTTCTCACAATTCCCTACAGAGGAATAGTGAGGGCTCTGTAGTCACCGTCTGTCACGGATCAGGGGAAGGATTCCCCAAATCCCCATGATGGGACTGACCTTGGCAAAGTCTCGTGAAATTTCTCTTCCTCGGCATCCATCACCTTCATCATTCCAGGTCACGTTGCCGTTCTAGGGAGAGAGAAATGAAAGGGTGAACGGATGACCAGGGAAAGGCTTTGTGGACAGTTCCAGAAAGCTCGCAAACATGCAATTTTAGGCACAAACACGCGCGCAAAAGCAGCCGCTGGCTTCGACCAAGATGACTAGAAAGACGGAGAACACCTGTACATTTGTCACAGCACGCTTTCCTGGAATCTCTGATGCTCAGCCTAAAAAACGGGACATGGCATTTCACCTTCTAGGCAACTACTGAAGGGAGGGGAAGTTTTTCAGCTCTAAGATTTTTCGTGCAGAAATGTATCTAAAAAAAAAATAAAATAAAGTGCTGTTGACACCAGGGAAAACCATTCCAGCGGAAAGTCCTCAACACCTTCCCCAGCCGCCTGCCCTCATCTGCTAAACAGAAACACGCTAACCTCTCCGTTGCAGGTGCTTTGCTGTGATGAGGTTCCAACACCTAAGCAGAGAGGCGCTGCTTTTGCTCTCCATGTCCACCTTTTCACCAAGTGGACATCCTAGAGCCCCTAGTGAAAGGTGCAGGTGTCACCCAGCCATCCTTTCTGTTCGCCAGGTGACACCAAACACATTGGGAAATGTGTCTGTCCTCCCCCCGGCTTGCCCACAAACCCAAAACCAGCGTACCCCAAAGAGAGAGGGAAATAATCCCATTGGAAAGCTTCTGGCCAACCCTTACGCTCCTGGATCTGGATTTTCCTCGAAGAAATGGAAAGCTCGGCTTTGCTGGATTAAAGTTCATTCTTCTTAGGCATTAAAAGGATTACTCTAGTTAGGCCTATTCTACTTGGTAAATCATCATCCTGAAATGATCACCGGGGCTGGAAACCAGCTGTACAGCAGGATCAGGACCAGAAGAATGATTCTGGAAGAACTGTCTGAAGCACGTTTAAACCATAAACTTCGTAAAGCTCCGATAGAGCAAGTGCTCCAGAGCCACTCAAGGAAAGAGAACAGCCAAATCCACCCGGAGAGGGACCTCGGACTACCCTGTCCCGATAAACACACAGCATCCTAACACAGCTAGAAAAGCACTGAAGATAGCCAGAGGTTATTTCAGCACCAAAAAAAAGAAGCACACGAATTAGAGAGGTAGTCCAATATCTGAAATCTTGGAGTCATCTGGTTGTGACACATACATTGAATTAGAGAGATGAATAGCTCTTGTCAAGGCCAGGCAAAGCTACATTTCCCCCTTTAAAAAACACTGCAGTGAGCTGCCCTAATGCCTGCTGATTTAGTTTGAGCCAGTAATTCCT